CTAAGAAGAAAATTATCTACTATTATTAGTATGCATGAAACAGAACACTTGCTCAGTTATTGAACCTGTCGATTTATAATTGACACTGGTAATAGCGTCTGAACTATGTATAGGTTCAATATTAGCTGTTAACATTCCATGAGTAATATGTACTGTAGTAACGCGATTCGATCGTTTCTTTCGATACTGATAGAGAATGAACAGAAAGTACACTATTTTTGGACAGATCCATTTGAGAACGACGCTAACACCGCCATTAAAACCAAGGATGAGAGTTACTGTATAGAAGGAGTTGAGGCGCTGGATATAAGTGTATGAGCATGATACGGGTGAACAATAATCGTAGTATGCTGAGTAGTTGAGCGTTGTCACCCAACTATCGATGAAAAGATCATTGACAAGATCGATGACCGTTGTATTTGGCAGAAATCGCCTTGAACCTGTCGCATTGATGTTCACAGTATCGAGAGATTTTCCTCGAATCAACGCAATGCACGATAAATCGTAGAAACATTCGAGAGTCGAAACAAGAAACGATTCGCTTGGTGTGCAACCTATTTTTAGTCCTTTCACTGGAATAAAGTCCGATGAATGTGGATCAAAAACAGTTGCTTGGGCTGTGCAATTTGCATGAAACGCACAGGAACAGTTATTATCGTAGATTAAAGGTTCTGTCAATGCCAAGGACATAATTGTTTCTTGAGCTATAGTTTAGAAAAAAAAGAGAGCCTTATGTGTTGTTCAAATTCGCTTCCGATTCTCGTTTGTTTTTCTCGCCTCAGAAGTTTCGTGTCGCTTCGTAGATGCAAAAAATCACCCTAGTTCTATGTATCATATTAGAAGTATCATACTGTGTTCCTCTGTTGTATTGATCAACGGTGGAAAGTAGTATTTGAAATTGCTTTCATACGATGAGATAATTGCATTTCCGTGATTGGTATTCCGAAGTAAAAAGAGAAGACGGGCAAAATCTGCAGAAGCACTGGTTTTGGTCTTTCCCACCAACGAATCGATATGTGTTTGAAGAGCTGTGGTTGATTGTAGTTGAGTATTGATAAAGGGTGACGTGAGTAACTGGCGAATAGAATCATCGACTGACTGCTTAGAAACACTGCATAATCGCGTCAGAAATTGTAAATGTGCTACAAGAAAGCGTCGGTAATCACTACGATCGTACGCAGATATATCTGATGGCAGATCGGCTGTAAAGTTTTTGCGCCAATCATCCGTAACAAATGGGCTCGTACAAATCTGCCATGAAACAAAAGAATTATTATTTTAGTGAGCAAATATATTTTCTCACCGGATGTAGCACGGGCTGTACACTGAGATATTGATCATAGATTAATGAGATTGATGAACAAAAACATTTGAGAGTATTGTTGCGCCCAGTTAAAAGATCATTATAAACTGCGCGCGATGGTTTGTCGAACGTTTTTGTCAAAATATGTGGCTGGGCGATTGTCTGAAGTATAAAAACAATTAAACAGCTGATAATAACAGCTAAGTACAGTCGAGTAGTCACCCGACCAAGTCGTTTGCGCGTCAATCGGTCAGTATTTGCTCCAAAATTTTCTCGCGTGAACAAATTCAAGTCGACCAGTTTGGCAGAGACAAAGTTAATCAGACTTTTCCATAGCAGTTTGACTCGAACGGACAGTTTTTGATGAACTATGTAAAAATTAATCTAGTTGATAACGAGTGTGAAATAGTTGACTCTTAATTACCTTTGGTTCTTTTAGATTTTGGTGCAAGCAAATGAAAGACAAACCTAATCAGCTGGGATGTGATCAAGCGCAGTGCAACGGTAAGACCACTTGTTGCAGACACTAATGTTATGACAATTTCAGCATAACTCTGCGCATGTGCTATTTGAGAGTATTTGCAAAAGGATGGTTTACATGCGTTATAGTAACGATTGTAGTAAAAAGCTGAGTTCCATTGTTCTATCATCATTTGCTTGACGATGACTTCAAGAGACGTGTTCGGAGCGAAGGAATGCGAATTTGTTTGATAAATAAGTGGATAAATCATGGATCTTTCTAGGCCGAAGTCGGTTGATTGAGTGTCCATTGTTATATTAACTTGATATCGTAACAATCCTAGGCATAGTTCCGAATAATAACATTCAAGTGTCGAGAGTAGAAATGAATCTAGCATGAAACAAGTGATGACCAAGCCCGGTATGGAATAGGACCCATCAATAAGAGTATCGCCAATCATGACTTGCACATAATCGAACAATAAAGCAGATTTTTGACATTGAGAATTAGTTACACACGTGCAAATAACCGACGTTTCAGTGTAGTTAGTCAAACCATTCAGACGGATTGACAACTAAATAGACTACCGTCGATTACATCCTTTTCAATTACAAATTACCTTCGGCATCTGTAAATTTGAACAATTATTTGTTGTAGTTTTTAACGACAAGGTCCTGGCATATATATCTGGAGTTGTAAAAGGCTGATCGACTTGAGTGATCAATCTTACTGTATCAATGAGACGATCGAAGTTGAGAGTCAACGATTGAGTAAACTGATTGATAGTTGTATTTATTGTTGCATTAAATTGTAATTCAGACAGTAGATTTGATGTGACAAGAGATCGCATAGTGAAACGACGTATAGCATCGTCAATCGTTTCATTAGCAAGTCCACAGAGTGAGGTTAGAAGTTGAACGAATTGGGCGCCAGATCTATAAAGATAATCATCGCCCAAATAATTCACGAGTCTCATCATTAATAGCCATTCTTCACTAACGAAATGACTCGAACACACTTGATGTAATGTTGGATTTAACGATATAAACGTTTGATAATACATGACTATATTCGAACAATGACATTCAAGTGTGTTGGAATGAAGATTCTGCAGACTCTGATACTCATCTAAGTCCGGATCGGGCACATTGATTGTTGTTGTTTGCGTGCTTAATGAATTGAACAGGAACAGAATGATAAATGAAACTTAGAAAAAGGTGTAGATGCAAAGACGATCACCGAATGCATGGAACTTACCTGCCAATAAAACTAGATAAACGCGTGTAGTAATACGTTGCTGTTTGATGTCAGCTGGCGTTCGTTGATTGATAGATTTGAACATATTCAAATGTTGTGCCCATTGAACAAACTTTTGAATACGAGCAAAAATATGTGCTAAGAATGAACTTGTATAATAATACATCAGCTGATGTTGAAACACATACCTCTGCTACAATTACGATTTTCTGAACGAAACTTGAAAATGAATACAATATTTATCAACCAACTTGCAATTAGATGAAGTATAATAACCAGTCCACCATACAGACTGAGCAGAAGAGTGAACATGTAAGCAATGTTTGTATGATCTGTTTCAGTATATGTGCAGATCTTTGGATTACATTTAGCAAAATATCTCCAGTAATCAATTGTTGTTGACCATTCTTCTATTAATAAATTATCTAAATAATCATCTAAAGAAGGAATTGACGATTTTGATGATGGAAGAGCACTGATTCGGCTCAAGTTCCTCTAGACACAAACAATTTATAATCATAATACACAGCAATGATACAAGGACATATACTTGGCTGAGAAGTGGAAAATAATCGGTAAGTGAATGAAGACAAGTTGTATTATAAAGGCAACTGAACGTGCCAGCCAGCAGTGCATCGAATGGATTACATGCTCCGAAAAATCCATCGACCGTGGCCGAAGCATCTTGGGGCAAATCATCTCTAGTTTTTATACCCCTATTGATATAATAACAACAAATTAAAAATCGATACCAAGCAGATTATAAGAAGGATATTTATCACCTACATTACTATAGGCCAAAACATATGAGAAGATGCGCTTTCCTCATATGTCATTGTATAGAAACCAGCTGGATATCTGGAGTTGATGATATTACATGGTTTTATTCTAATATAATAGCGAAAAGTGGCATCGTCGACATAGTATGTAGAGCTTGATGAGAGTGAATAGCCCCATAAGCAAGTGACACTAATAGCTGCATTTGTATTCAGAGCTGAAACAAGACCGTTCAATCGAGTTGTTATTTGCAAGAAATGAAGAAATAGATTGGGTTGAATAGGTGCACTAGTCTTCATTAGATTATAATTGGCATTAATTTGAGATTGAACTTCATTTTCGGATAGAAGTTCGATTGAAATCAGTTGACTGTTATTAAAATCAGACTGAACTTGAGAGAGTATCTTCTGAGCGAACTGACAGATTCCAGCAAGAAGTTCAAACTAAAATTGCAAAACACACAATACACTTTTCCGTAGTCAGTTTCTATAATAGTTAAGTAAGTATAAGGAAGGAGAAAGACGTGAATGCCAGTTTTTTGCTCATTCGGATTAATTTAACTCACTTGTGATTTGGCTGTTGTTCGAAAGTCCATCACTACGTATGCACTAGCGTTTGCGATATAAAGTGCTTCAATCCATTGTTGACTAACAAAGATACTCGAACACAAAGGATGAAGGGCAACCGTGTTGGAAACAAGATCATTGTAAATGATAGTAGTTGTGGAGCAAGGGCAACTTAATGTATCTGCATGATTTTGTTGCAGCCGATCGAAGAGCGATGGAGTTATGTCAGATGCAGTGATCAAGCGTGTTTGTGGGCTGATAAAAGCAGCGAAGAATAGGATATAGAAGATGACTAAATACACAGCAGGTTGGTTTTAAACAGATTTTCTCTTGGTTCACTTACTGAGCAAAAGAAGAAGGTATAAACGCGTAGCATACCGCTGTTGCTTAAAGGTCAGGACAGGATCTCTGGCTTCGTCATCATCATCTTCATAGTCATTTTCATCAGGAGTGAAAATATTGTAATTATACAATTGCTCATAGAGCCACCGAAAGAAATTTCTGACGTTCATGTCAGACGCAAATAATATCATTGTCAGCAGATGAGTTAAACAGATTTTCTCATGTTAACAAATAAAAAAATAGAAAAACCTCTTTCCTTCAGTATATTACGGAAATGGGCGAACACTATTCAGTGTGTCTAACAATTTTGTTTAATCATACTTGAAAAGTAAATAACATTTTTCTAATTATATTTCTAAATTAACGGATCTCGGTTGATTCTATAGAATGAGCTAGATGAGAAGTATTTTTAGGTTCATTATTGTTCATGCAGCGAACACGTGACTATTTGTCTATTCTTTTTATATCTACAAAACATGTGATCTATTCACTTGCTGTTTCTATCATAATAAATGATCACCCACGTGTAGAAACCAAAAGCATTGATCATTAATAATTGAGCATACATGGATGAGATATATCATGTTATCAGATGTTGAGCAAAACGAACTTGAACCAATGAGTGATCAATCCACGGCAGGAGAAAAGCATCATTTTATTTACAGTAGCATACACCAGTAGCGTGTTTACTATATTCCGAACAGTGAAAGATTTTATACTCTATTTGTACTAGTTCTGATCACCAGCATACTTGTAGTAACATTCGTTATTGCATGGCATGAAACGATCGAAACTAATGTTACCACACTTGATAGGAAAAGTAAGCGGATGGGTGTAGGTGACGTTGTTTTTATAATTTCTGCAAATTTACATTCATGAACCGTTACATGATGTTTAACTACTTTCGCTTGTCTATTGCTTTTTACAATCATCGTCGACTTCGTAAGTATTTTCTTCTTATAGTTTGTTCAGACAAGAAGTAATCTGTTTGAATGTCTTGTAACCTTAATTAGTTCATTTATCAGTTGTTTACCACGTGTTTTAATTTATGTTCATCAACGATGGCGAAGGGAGAGACTGCCTTCCTTTTCGTGCTCTAGTGGCTGGGTTGAGTACGAATATTCATGTACTAAATCAGTCTAAAGATTAAAATGTTTTCCTCTAGAGAACTAAAAATCGTGTCAGCCGCGCAATATTGGAATCAAAGAATCATAATTCTGATTTTTACTATTATGATACTCCATATAGATATTCATTTTGAAACGTTCGACATTTCAGTATGAAAACGAATATTGTTACACTCCATGCAGGTATTTCACTGATTCCGATTATTAATCTGCACCATGATATTGTAATGCTGCTATAGACTATGCAAATATTAATGGTTGTAAGACTGATCATGCCTGTTTTGATCACATTACTTAGCGAATGAAAAATAATTTTTTATTGTTTTTCCTAATGTTTTTCATTTGAAATAAAATCTTGCTGAATATCAAAGTTCTTTCCAATTGAAGATTAATGATAGTTAATATTTCCTTGGTTTTTGTTACATTTGCACGTTTAGTGAGTGTGACTATTCTGACTCTTTTAAACTCATTATCAACAGTACTCAGAACGATTACAATTGATTACCCAACACAAACGATGTTTGAAAAATTTCAATCAGATTCTCAAATATTTCCGACGCTTGAATGTCTTTGTCAACAAAAGCTTATTTTCATCAACTCTGTTCAAGTGACTTTGTTGATAAAAATTCGAACTGGTCAAACATTTTGTATTCCTATGGAATCGATGACGAACGTCCTTATGATGACTTTCGCGTATTCGCTTTACCACAATTTCTTACTTTATCTTTACTATGTGATGCGGCAAATAGAACATTTATAAATAATTTGGTTCGATTTAACTCAAAAATACTAATTAGTAAGGAAGTTCAGTCATCAGACATCGTTGAGTTTCAAGTGGCAAGTGAAGTGACACGATTTTGTAGATCAACATATGAAAGATTTGTTTGGATGTTAGATTTCGTTGGAAATATAGCGCAAGGCAATGGACTTGATTCATTTATTCAATCAATCTGGTATTTTCAAACACTACGAAAAGAAGATCTGGCTGCATTATGGATGAAGCCACGATCATGTGGAAATGACAACAGTTGTTCGTGTGGAACGAATTTCACGTGTAGTTCATCAGCTATTATCAACAATTATTCAATATCTGGATTTCGGATTGGTTGTTTCGTAACCAATTCTCTTTTGCAATCAACTTTAGAATGTCTTTACAATCTGACATGTATTAATCTTTTGGAATCATTTTATTCTATACAAGATGTTCGTATTTTGCCATTGAATCCAAATCTTTCTTCTCCAAATGAAACTGTTCAAAGTCTTGTTGCCCATCTGTTCATTGATACGAAACAAAGTAATGTTTCTTATGAAAAATATGATGAAACGTGTTCGCCTCGTTTATGTCAATATTCAATCGAAGAACGTATTCATGTGCTTTATACAATTACAGCCATCATCGGCTTTTATAGAGGATTGACTGTTGCATTAGAAATTGTAGCTACTATTTTAGTGAATACAGGACTGTTCATTCTTCGATGTCAACAAAATAGAATTCATCCGGAAAATGTCTATTAACTCAGCACACTTCCATTATGAAAAATTTTTTAAACGCTTGATATTCATCATCGTGAGGGTGTGGGCGACCGATGTTGGAACCGCGCAAAATAGTACAGAAACAAGTCGGTCTGGGTTTTTTAAAATATTCTTTTTTTCAAGTTTTTTTTTGGTTTTTGAAGTGGAAAGCTGGTGGTTTTTGGAAATTTTGTCATTGAAATCGATAGAGTACGATTAGTTCTACTTGGAACCAGTGAGATCAGAGCTGAAACGTACATCTGAACAAACAAATTCAGGAAAAACTCGAATCGGGCACTAAGATATCTTACATGTTACCTGATAGATATGTCTGTTGATTAGAGAACACATGATATATCATATTCTCTTGTTGATCTATCTGGAGTCGAGTGGCATGGAAGGAGAAAAAAATCACCTTTGATCAATGTAATCAGTACAGGACAAACATATGAGAAAGGAAGAAACGAAAATTTTTTTTTTCTGAACGCACTTTTGTCTTAATCAATTGTATCTTGTTTGTCGGGAAATGGAGATTTCATTTTTCTGTTGAATCGCTCATAGTGCCTGATTTACGTGACTTTTAAATCAGTGAAACTCACATAAATCACAAATCGCTTTTTCGCTCTTGAGTACAACTCTTTTTTTGTTTTAATTACGCGTTTTCAAATAGATTTCATCATCAGATAAATATAATTGAAAGTGAAACATGTGGAAACAATTTTTAAATATGAGTCATGTTTTAACATCCACCTTTGCTCGTGCTTACAATTTGCATGTTGACTCACTCTCTCTTTAGGCTGGAAAATACCCAGTAGTAAAAGAAAAAGAATAAAACTACTCGACAGTTCTTCTTCGAATGAATCCAAAAAATTGTAATCAAACGCAAATAGAAGCAAGATAAGACTTTTTCCATTCTTATATAACCTCAAACAAGCCTTTTGCAAACTCATAAATTGCAGAAACAACCACCAGTGGATTAGTCATGGGCCAAAGCTCTTCCAACCGAGTTGTATCTCGATTTACAGAAACAAATGCGCCACCAAACAATGTTGCTCTTCCTACAGATTATCTAAACGAACCACTGACTACTCTCGAAGGTTCACTCAAAAACATGCACTCTCGATTGGATGATCTTGACAAGCACATTATCAATGCCAAAGCACAATTCAATTCTTCGATTGCGCATAACTTAACACGTGACGAAGCAGCTGCAATATATCTTTACACGTTAGAGTGGCCCAGTAACGGAATTAGCTTGTACACAATATTCAACCAAGATCTTCGAACGAAAGATAACTCGAAAATCAAACATTGGCTACCTTTTCTCAAACTGCTCATGACGGCAATGAATAAAATGCCATCGAAGCAACTACGAGTTTACCGAGGCCTTCGAGGAGATGTCAGCAAAGAGTATACCGAAGGTCTGGAATTCGTCTGGGCAAGTGCGACTTCATGTAGTCGTAGTATTAACATGGCTTGCAACTTTTTTGCCAACTCAAATGGAGAATGTGTGCTGTTTCAGATCGATGTTCAAAACGGAAAAGATATTTCTGCTTTCAGTCATTTCAAATTGGAGGAGGAAGTCTTGCTTCGTCCGGGCACCAGATTTCGTGTGACAAAAAAGCCTCAACTTGAAAAGATTGACAGCATGAGCGTTTTTGTTGTTCATTTGCAAGAAGTTTGACCTTTTTCTTTCAACACGACGATTGAAACCGTTTACCAAAAGTATCGTTCGATTTCGACTATGATTCGTAAATAGATCTCATATTTCGCATGACACATCAATCTGAAGTATGTTGTGCATGAAGTACGCTGTACGATTAATGTCTTTATTTATCTTTACTACAAAAATTAATAAATGAGATCAGAATTTGTGGCTTATGGAACAAAAGCATGTTCATTCTTTCTTCATTTGATCTGCCAGCCAGTCGAGACCTTCGTACAGTCCACTGCCATCACATGCACATGCTGCTTGAATATGCCATTTGCGATCCGATATAGAATGTAGTTTCAGTTTATTTTTGATTTCATTTGTGTTCATTGCATCGGATAAATCTTGTTTATTAGCAAAGATAAGTAACGGCACTGTGTTGAGTTCTTCGTTTGAAAGTACGACTTGAAATGCATCGCACACGTCATCCATACGACCACGATCGTGACTGTCGATAACAAAAACAATACCATCAGTGTTTTGATAATACTGATGCCACAGCGCACGAATCATACTACTACCACCAATATCCCAAATAGTGAACTTCATATTCTTATGTTCTATCATTTCAACATTGAAACCATTTGTTGGAATTGTTGTCACAATTTCACCTATTTTCAGTCGATACAATAGTACTGTTTTGCCAGCATCGTCAAGACCAATCATGACAAGTCTTGCCTCCATCTCTTTTAAACGTTCTTTTGAATATGAAGTCTGAAAACAACATGCGAGAAGAAACAAGGAGGTTATTTTGAGATTTATTTTTTCAAGAGTGCTCGTTCTGCAAAAAAACAATCGGTTGTTGTTCACTATACGCTTGCAAGATGCAAAGCAGAATCAGCGAGTAATTGAATTATATTCGGAGCACACCTTTATAAACTATTCTCATCATACATAATGAGTAACTCTACACATTCAAGAACAACAAAAATAGCGCCAATTTTTTGCAAGTGATCGGATTGAATCACATATTTTGGCACCTAAGCCCATTCAATCCTTGTTGTGAATATATTCTCGATGCTGCCGCGACAACTTGGTTTTTCAGAAATGCATGCATCAACTGTGATAGTATCTGCAATGCCTGTATGTTTCATTTCCTTTAGCCCGGACTTGACTGCTTTGGGTTGTTAAATAATTACAAATTAAAACCGTAGATAAGATGCGCACAGCAAAAATATACTTTATTTCATGACAAAAGAATGAAAGGATTCAGTCAGAAAAAAAGATTGAAATAGCGCAGAAGTGCACCAGTATTATCGATACAGATGCGTTCGTAGTTGATTATGAAACAAAGTCTATCGAATATTTTAAATTAGAAGGAACATTGTAGCCTATGGATAGTTTCTGTTCATGAATAAGTTTGTATAGCAGCCACACGCTAGTAATTTTAACCAAACGATTAGAATATTTAACCCATTGGGGACAGTTGGCCCTTAAGGGGCTCTGGGGATTCTCTGGTATTTCAAAGTACGCAGATTTCTATATGACATTAGTTTTTGTTAAAGCATTTATCAGAGAGTCTTTCGGCATAATTTGGATTGCAGTTAGGTTATATTATTTAGATATCCAGTCATGAATAATAAATATAAGAAAACTGATTTTCAGATAAAAGAACGCTATCATCTGAATCGTTGTCAGCAACGATGCTCTCTGTATCGAGACATATTAGACGATGTTCTAAGCAAACACACGTTTTTATAAAGTTCTTCTAAAAGATAGAAATGCAGATTGATTTATGATGAAATATACAGAGAAAAAAAGCCGTCCTCAAAGGGTTAAGCTTTGTGCTTAACGTCATCTTTAAAAGCTTTCCTTTTGATTATGCTGTGTTTTATGTACGCGAGTATCTTTCCGAAATCAGAGATATTGGTTTGTCTTACAGCACAGAATTCAACGCGTTCTTACCGTTCACAGAATGAAACTCGGCTGTTTCTATTTGTTTTCTCGGAGAGTGAATTGCTGGCGAAAAGTCAGCTTCCCGTATGTCTCTTTTAACACATCCCTCTAGGCTTCTTACTTTGACATTTTAATATGATTGTTAAAAGAAAAGACGACCATCCTTTTCATTTTCATATGAGTACCTAACGCCTACCATGACATCAAATTCAACATCAGCAGTAATTTCCCAAGTTACCTCTCAATATTTAATTTATGCGAATTGTATTACTAGTATTGCTTCATTTATAAGTAATCCACTGAACATTTTAGTTTTTCTTCGATTGAAATCCTTTCGAACCAATCGATCTGCTCTGTATCTAATCGTTGAATCAATTTCAAATTTTATATGTGGTTTAATGACATTTATCATAACACTTGTGCCTCTGGTCTACAATGATATGACAATAGTAACTTCAACGATTTGGTGTAAACTACGACTTGTTATCTTTCAGACATCGATTTTAACAACATCGTATATGATTTGTTTATCGGCTTGTGATCAACTATTTTCAACAAATCATCGTTCGAGTTTAAGACAACTTTATACATTGAAAACCGCTCGATCTTTAGTAGCAATAGGTGTTTGCTTCAATGTTGTGCATAGTATTCTATATGGTCTTTGCGTTGGTAGTCATCCATTATTGGGATGTATCATATTAAATCCGATATGGAGTCAATATGCAAAATATATCTACTATCCACTTCTTGCTGGCTTTGTACCGATTCTGATTGCTTCTACGTTCAGTTTAATTGCTTATGGGAACGTTCGCCGCATTATTCGTCGACAAATTCCGCTTGAACGTCGTCGTTTTGACCGCCAAATCACAGCAATGGTACTTGTTCGTGTTATTGCGTTTGTTTTATTACAGTTGCCCTATACAAGTTATCGAGTTTACTCGATCAATATCAATCCTCAGCAAATAGATCAATTAAGAGCAACGATCGAACGATTGATTCAAACCGTATCTTACTCATTGATTAATACAAATACTGCAGTAAGATTTTATCTTACAACTGAGAAGAAAAAAGTAGTTCGTGCATTTTAGATTAATTTGTATTTGTTTTTGATCACATCGGCACGATATCGTCGGCAAGTGAAGTATGTTCTGAAGAAAAAATGTTGGAGAACAATAAAGGCTTGGGTTTCTCAAAGCGAAAATCAGGTTTATCCAGAGTGTACGACGTTTTCCGATGACAACATCGACCTTGATTGAATCGCCTATTCTACCTTTTACAATAAACGCGTTACTATCATTAGATAGAAGAAAGAGCAATAATTATCCCGAGGAGGGATGTCAATGTGAATGAATGTACTATGTCCCCAAAGTGATATAATAGATTATAGTAATGAAATAGTTCATGTACATCTCTCATACGAAGAAATGATTAGTAGGTGACTATGACATACATTTTCTCATGTTCAAAATGAACAGAAAAGTGGTGTGGATATGCAAACGATATTTGCACTTTGCACAGACATGAATAAATTTGTTTTTTTTTGCAATTCTATTCTCTTTCTTCGTTCGGTAGAAGCAAATTGCATTGTAGAATTCCTTTCAATATATTATACTCAATAATTTATTATGTTCACTAAAAATAAGCTCGTCTCTTGCTTGTTACCAGTCCACCTATCAGATTCATTCTGTCCGGCGATGATCGTAGATTCTGCCCTATAATTGTCAATTAACGTATCTCTCTCTCCGTTCCACTAGAGATCTTCTTGCTGAAAAAACATGTTACGATTGAATTATGAAGCAAGAATCCTGTATTAATATGGTGCTACTGTTATTTTGACATCTTTCACACTGTACGAAGTAAAAAGCTTCGATTCATTTGCTATTCGCATGAAGACCTCCTCACCGTTTTCTTCTTCCACATGCACTGTTCAACTGAAGAATAGAACTTAGCGTCACCTTATTATGCGCTACTCAACAGTCTACAATTTACACTGATTGTTTCCTCCTCATCACTGGCAACCATCGATCAATTCTCACTCACTTCGAAGCATACCGCATTTCGACGTTACTGTCAAATTCGCTTCGCTCGTCCAGTCGTGTTGGTTGCGGTCATCATTTGGCTGGCGCATAGAATTTCCATTGTTATATTTTACGATATTTCTCTGTTGACCAACACTTGTAAAATCTCAACTCAAGTTTTGTGATCTACGCAATTGTATAGCTGATCGGTATCATTTGCGTCATGCAGACAGTGAATCTCGCGTAGCTACGAGTTGATCATAGTGACTCTCATCCGTGTCGTGCTTGTCACAATCAGCTTACTACCATATGGAGTTTATACTGCGTATGTTTCAATCAGTAGTAGCGGAATAAAAGATGCTGATCGACCACAAAACCAAAACAGTACGATTCTGAATGCACACCATCAACTGTGCTTCATGATGTTCTTAGGTTGTGATCATGAGCAGTTTTGTAATATTTATAACGTTTTCACATATTTAATTTTCATATGGACTGCATTGTCTCTTTGACGTAGTTTATAATTATAAATCAGATTCATCGGTTAAAATATTCTAGGCATAGAAGAAAGATCATGAGGGATTCTAATCTATCTCGAGATTTCATCGTTAAAGGATGAAACGTATGACACGAAACTTAATTGTGTAGACAATCTCTGTTGAACGCATATGCAAAGAGTATGTCGTCGTTCTCCTTGGGGACGTTATCGCTATACCCAAGAATCACCTTTTGAATTGGTCGTATTATTCATATTTATGACTTTAACGCGTCCGGATAGGCAAAGTCTAGAAATTATTTTCAAAAGCATGCAGGACGAAAGATTGCGATGGATTAGAAATTCCATTTCATCCCTCAGATGTATAATCTGACATTTTTTTTTCATCTGAGAAAATTTGATGGTACTTTACTTGTATCAAATAAAAATCATGTCATGAAGAGAGTACAAAGGAATGAAGTGTTTACATCAAAAGTACTATGAAACTATGGAAGGAACATAAATAAAAGAATTTCTCTATTGAAACAAGGATATATCCTGAATCGATTTGATTAGTTAGAAATCTATCTGGTGAAGCATATAGATTTTCTTTATCTTAGCCAAGGAGAGTGAAGAACAGTACAGAATTATATGTTTGTTCTGAGAAGAATTTTTCACATGGATACAAAATAGTAAAGGTGTATTTTAAGAACAGAATATTTTTCCTTCTTCTGTCCCTCTCCAGACTTCCTTATAATGAAAAGCATTCTCTCATACATAATTTCTAACCATTATGACGTTGTTCTACGATGCTCAGCAATTCACATTCTTTACTGGTTATCTGTTCCTTATTACCGGTATCATTGGTAATGGAATCAATATCCTAGTCTTCTCAAGAGTACGTACTTATCGTACCAATCCGTCTACATTCTATTTTCTTGTCGGCTCGATAGTTAATACTCTTTTCATAATGATTAACTTGACATTTCGTATTCTAAACGTAGGTTATAATATTGATCTCATTGATAAATCAAATGCGTGGTGCAAAGTACGACAGTATTTTCTACTTGTTCCAGCTGTAGTATCCACGACGATTTCTTGTTTGGCTACAATAGATCAATATTTGGCTACGTCGAGCAGTGTCGACCTCCGACGTCACAGCCAAATAAAATGGGCACATCGAATTACGGTGATTATGCTTATCTTTTGGTGTGCACATGGCATTCCCGTTTTTCTCTTTTATGATCTTTCACCGGTTACGAAGACTTGTACGAACATGAATGCTGCCTATGATATTTACAGATTAGTGTATCTGATTGGTATTATCTGTATTATACCAGTTTCCATAATGATTTTATTCGGCTGTTTAACGTATCGTAATGTTCAACAAAGACTTAAATGCATTGAACTACACATTGATCAACAAATAATCAAGATGACCTTGATTCACGTGATACTGGTCATTGTTAGTTTGCTACCGTATGGAATTTTTAATATTTATATTTTAATCACGAGTTCGGTCGTCAAGGATGTCGACCGACAAGTAAAAGAATACTTGGCAACTTCAATACTCTCAATGATGGCATACATGTACTATGTTGTATGTAATTTGATTCCTATGCACTTTATTCACTGTGTATTTCATTTTCTAGGGGAATTGTTTCATATTTCTGGCATCATCGAAGCGCTTTCGTCAACGGGTTAAAGAAGTACTATTTTGCTGTCGACAATCGAACCAAACGATGCCTTGCTAAGCACTCACAAGACTGAAGACTGAGAGTATATATATACATCAGAATCGAATCTATTTTAATATGAATGCGCTTATAAGCAGATGATTTTTTATATATTTACTCACAATAAATGAAGCAGACCTGTCGATAGGATATCAATTCTTGAGAACACGTCAGCTTACCGAACATCTATTGTGTTTGTTCTTTTCTATCTGCTGTAAGAAATGCAATCTAACTCGTGTAAAACAATAAACAGATATGTGGGAAGAAAAGTGGCAAATTACATGTCACAGCTATCTTTATTTTCCCATCTTTTAGCGTTAGTTGTTGATGATTGTATAGTGTTTGACGACGTGACAGTAGGATTATAATGCTACTCGAAAGTAACTACCGTTTTTTTAATCAGAAACTATTTATTTTCACTTCCGACTTAGAGTGACATTATAATGTATTATTGTCACTGCATTATGTTTGTTGTATTGTTCCAACGGTATAGCCTCTTGAACCTCTTTAGAGTATCCGGTAGTAGTATGTTTAAAGTAACTGGGACAAGTGAGGTAATCTAGGTACTTAGAGACTAAGGAATGGAGCACGTATTCCTTGCTACGCTAGTATTGAATGGGATAAAATATTGGTGATATAATTCAAATGAGAATTTCTCATACTTCGATGAAAGTATACCAATAATTTGGAATAGGTAGAATTATCATGATCCATAGAAGCCGATCGCGTAAAATAAAGGATGGTGCTTACACATCACTATGTTCTTTTGTTCTTCGATATGAAATACCTTAGAATACTTTAACAAAAAGACAAAGAACTTGTTGATATCTAGAACAAAAGATATGAAACTTATTCTTATCAACAAAGTAATACCCTTAGCAAACATATCGGTGCTCTTTTCAAGGAGAACTTCACTAATATGGCGACCGAATCATTATCCGATGTAATTTTTCGTGTTTATTCTATGAACGATTATGAGGAAAATTTATCTAAACTACACGATCTATTTCAACGGTGTCAGTACACGAATCAGAAATTCGTAACGATGGGTGCCAAAGATAATTTACCTGTTCTATTCCATTGTGAGACTACTGACTATCTACAACCGATGAAACAGTATCGCAAATCATGGTGCTTTGCACTAGTGCAATCTACTAACAATCGTGTTGTATCTACTTTGGTGTTTAATATTAAAACTGTATATTATGGTCATATTCCAGTAACTGCCATATGTAGTCGATTGATGCGTGTTGATCCCGATCAACGACGGCAACAGCGTTCAAAAGAACTAATCCAGAGAGCTATCGAATGTATTCAGGATCCACTTCCAGACATAGTGCTAGGCTATACGGCTACTGCCAATATAGCATCACTGAGCTTGCAACAGAATTTACTTGGCGCTCCACCTGATCGAGCCGTTTTGTTAGATGCTTTCATCCTCTCTACCGAAGCCGGTACTGTGACAGTTAACTTTCATAAACTGAATAAGGCAGAAACAGAACGTCTTTGGACAATTGACATGATCGATTGGGTACAGCGTCCAGAACTCTCAGATCTGCATTATATTATGCAACAGAGTGAATATGTGGGCACTTTTGTTGTAGGCGACTTTAGTTCACGACGATATACTGCGGCAATGATATGGGAACCAGCATCGACTACACTTCACGATGATCGACTAGGTATCAGCAATCCATATAAAGGTCAATTGAGAATAGCTATGAATTTCTTCCAATCCTACGATCCCACGTCAATCGATGCCATCGGTGAAAGAGAAAATCTTCTATTAGCATTAAATCATACAGCTGCTGCTGCTGGAATACCGTTTATGCTTTGCTATGCCCAGCAAACATCACCATTTAAACTTCTATTCGAGCAACAATCATTAGGCGTAGTAACACAAATTGTATCGGGAGTTCCTACGTCAGAATATATGATTAATGTAGTTAATCAGTTCAAACATTCACCTATTTGGTTCGATCCACGTGATATGGGACCTCTGCTATACTTTAAAGCTTCATCAAATAAATTTCAATCACAGTTATGAAACACTAACACTGTTATTTCTACATACGAAACAAATCTAGTTATTTTTGAAGTAATCGATATCTTCCAGAATATATCTTACTATTTAGTAGAATCTTTAACGAGGTGAATGATGAAATCACATGATAATTCACTGGATGCAAGTTAAGGACAAAAAAAGACAACAACATATCGAATGCTTTGTCATGATTGATATTTTCATCAGAAAGATTGAGTTTCATTTTCTATTGTAAGAGCATCACTAATGCTTCCATAGTCATTTTATCAAAAGATACATTCGAATAAGAATGTCATCCAATCCCTTAGTCCTTTTTCTTGTTGCTCTTATTGTTGGTATCAAAAGCGATGAAATAGAATTCCATTTAACGACCTACGACAATGGTAAAATATGTTCCTCTTGGATAGATACACATGATGAATTCTTCGCCTATACCGAAGCATACAATCAGGAATGCATAAGTGAAACGGAGCTAGAAAGAAGGAACGGCCAAGCACGTCTCTGTTGCGAAACTACACCTTTACCGATTCCAAGTACAGATTTTCCTCGAGAGTGTGGTAAACAGAAACACCTACCATTGCTACAACGGATCGTTGGTGGACAAGATGCGGCTATCTACAGCTGGGTAAGTTCTATGAAAGACAAAGTACTCAAATAATCACTATTCTCTATTATATTGACCATTAGCCATGGCAGGTCCTATTACTTAGTAGTGATCTTCAATGTGGCGGTGTGCTTATCGATCAACAGCATGTGCTAACAGCTGCACATTGTATTACATATCCAATTGAGCCGACTGACTATGTGATTACTGTGGGTTTGCATAAGAGAGAGTCAATAGTCAACAAAGGAGAAGAAATTGTTGCCGAAAATATCTGGGTGCATGAGCTATACAATAGTAGCACTCTAGAAAACGATATAAGTGTAATACGTTTATCCAAGCCTGTTCAGATTTCTGACGCGATCAATGTTATTTGTTTACCAGGCGCGCATGTTGGTACAGCTGTTAATAAAACAGTCTGGGTGTGTAAGTATATTGAAAGTTTTCATCTACACCTTTTGAGAATTTGATCGAAAGACGATTTTATTCTTTATCAGCCGGCTGGGGAAAAACATATTACAATGGGTATACAAGCTCCGTTCTCAGACAAACCTGGTTATATACAATGGGTGATATGTGCAATACCTACGTTACAAAGGTTTTTGATGAAGATAAACAACTATGTGCGGGAAGATATACTACATATAGCGCTACATGTCAAGGAGATTCAGGTGGTCCTTTGATGTATGAATCTAATGGGCAATGGCAAGTATTAATTGTTGACTCAATCATTTATTAATTTTCCGTTTTGCGTTCGAAGGTTTTTGAATGGAATCGTAAGTTATGGCCAAGCTTGCGGTTCGAGAGGAACTCCGAGTGTTTACGTACGTGTGACTTACTATCTACCGTGGATTCAAAGTAAAATGTCGTTAGCTTCAGCTTGATTTCTGAAAATCATGATTCACTTCATTTACTGATGTTTTACTTGAAATAAATGAAAGCCTTTTGACAATAAAACTTCGAATACTTGTTAGATTGAAAAATCATCCATATTTATGCGTAGATTTGAGAACATTTCTCGTAGGATTGCAATGACATGAGTTGAAATAAAACATATAATGTTTATTCGTGTGCAAATTGAATTTTATGAAGGACAAGAAGCAGCACGAAACACTGTTTTTATTCATTCAATCACAGCCTAGATATACACAACTGCGCCTCTGAAAATGCACCGACATTTCAAAGTATATACTAGTCAATAGACGCCGAAGGCATTGATGTCATGTTATGCTTCTCTTTCAGGTGAAGCCAATGGTCAATCAATAACAGATTTGTTCGACATTATCAGATGCAATAAAAAATAACCAACGTTCTATTGAGATTTATCAGCTCCCTGTAATGAACAAAGTAGATTGTAAGTTTTTTGTATAGTTCACGAAATACTAGTGCAAAAAACAGGCTTTTGTTCATACATCGATCACAAATGAAATTTATCAGTCAGCGTACTCCATCCTATTCATCTGGTATCAAAACACTCCCATCAACCAATTCTACAAAGTAGGCGCAAAAGACAACCACGTGAAAATTGATCGATGATTGATGTATGTAGAAAGAAACCTGTAGTGAAAAATATGAAAACATGGGAAAAGCATCTGAAACCGTGGTCTATTTGTCTTTGTTTGCTACTGACACTCTTCCTTTTTCTATGTATGGTACTGGGTATTTTTGCTTTGATCTCTTTACGTAAAATCACAGGTAAAACTAATTCTATCGAAACTCGTAATTCCATCAGACAAAGTCTTACATGTTTTGTTTAGCTGCATCAATCACGGCTGCGCCAGGTAATTTGCATTTCGTTCGAATTCAGAAGTTTACACATTATCTATTAGGATGGTCAACAACTAATAGTTTAAATACTGCTCAAGTGCAACATGCAGCATCTCGTTTATTAAATGAGAAAGTACTAGTTTAAGCAGCGCTGTACTGTACGATCCATCCACAGAATTATGGACAACTACAAGCGATATGAATTATGCGCGACGTTATCATATAGCATCTATGTTAGCTAGTGGAAAAGTACTGGTTACTGGTGGAAATAACAATGGAGGAGTTCTAAACAGCGTTGAATTGTATGATCCATCAACAAATGTGTGGACAGCTACTGGTAGTGTAAACTATCATCGAGCTTATCACACGGCGACTTTGTTAACAGATGGAAGAGTGTTAATCGCTGGTGGCTCTAATAATATTGGTTATTTGAATAGCGCTGAGATATATGATCCCTCAACTGGACTATGCACAATTACTGCCAATATGTGAACACACAGCTTCCAAATTAACCAATGGAAAAGTGTTAGTCACCGGTGGCATCAGTAGTACTATTTTGAATAGTTCAGAGCTCTATCATTCATAATAAAGTTTTACTACAATAACAATGACTGCGTGATTTTTGCGAATAAGTATATAAAATCCTACGATAGTCCACACCCTCACCTTGCATACCTTTGAAATTATTGATGAAATACTGTTTCAGCTTGTTCACCGATGGTTTCGATCCTGGGTAATTTCCAATCTAACTGCAAACAACATAATTATGACTAAGAATCGAGTCGATATTGAAAATAAACATGTAAATGATGTTATGACACAAACCAAGAGAAAAAAAGCACATGAAGGAAGTGGAGAACGAAAAGAAAATAATTATATATATGCATCGAATATCGATCATTTGAATAATAATATTCATTTTTCTGTCCGATTTATTTTGAAGTAGGTCATACAAGTGAATAATGTTGGATAAGTTTGGATGGAAGAAAAAGCCGAGTAAGTCGAATGAATCTAAATTTTTGAGTAGGAAAAAAACTTCTTTTTTTTAGAAAGTTTAAACTCAGAAACTCCAAATATGAGAAGAAATGAATCTCAAGTGAGCATTGCTTCAGAAAGATGGACTAGGAATCCTTATATAAAACAGAATCATATTGAACATGCTGTTGATAGTCCTGTTAAACCTAACGATGAACCAGAACCGAATCGTCCGAACATTATGCCGTTACCGGCAAGTATCCCCTTGGGTAAGTCTTCTTCTGAAAGTGTCTCATCTATATTATTACCAAAAAGTAAAAACATAGAAGATCGTTCCTACAATCTGTTATTTATTTCACTTTTAGCTGATGATCGTCTCCAAGACGTGATTCTTCGAAACGAAATCCGAAAAGATTTCGCTAAGCGTCTACATAAATTGAAAAACTATGAAATCATTCTCCTCTGCGATGATTCAGGTTCAATGAACACGACTGTGGATGGTTCCAATCGAACACGATGGGATGAACTTCGAGACTTTGCCAAAATTATCTTAAATGTTGGAACAATATTCGATTCATCCGGTGTCGACATTTACTTTCTTAATAGAGAATCGATTCTTAATGTCAAGGATCCTGACAAAGTCAATGAAGTGTTTTCGAAACCACCTTACGGTTACACCCCGTTGGTGCCTGCTCTCAGAAAAATCTTCCAGTTGCCAATAACTCGGCTAAACAATGATAAAAAAGTGTTAGTATTCGTTGCAACCGATGGAGCCCCTACCAACGATGATGGAGAACCAAATGTTGACGAACTTAAACATCTGATGAATATAGAACGTCGCATAGACACAACCTTTGTGTCGTTTTTAATCTGTACGGACGATCCAACCTGTGTTGGATATCTACGTGATTGGGATAAGATGATGACGAATGTCGATGTAACGGATGATTATAAAACAGAAAGAGAAAATATTGAAAAACTTCAAGAAGGAAATTTTACGTTTACGAAAGGTGATTATATTGTCAAGGCATTGGTTGGTGCAATCGATAAGCAAATTGATGATCTCAATGAAAAGCGTGTGCAATTTTAATTCGAAGACATTATCTCAAGCCAGGATGAAAATGTGATTTTTTTATATGTAGAGAACATGGTTTTTCGTTTCATGTGTAACTGCGTGCCACTGTATCACTATACATCTCAGATTATAATAAATCGACAATACGCAAAATCATTTGTAATTATTTATTTTGTGTTTATAGTCATCTGAGTATAGTTGAGTTAGCAGGTTCATAATAATAATCATGCTTTTACTTTCTTACGGATTACATGTCTCTTTCATATACTTATAGTCTCATGTCCTCCTGCTTCACTGAGTTTTTCTTAGTATACTGATGTTACTTATTTTCTTTTGATAAGTTTTGAAGTAGCTTTGATTAGGAAAGCTATCCGACTTGTCTCGTATTTCTACGAAGAAAAACAGAATGTGCTCGTGATTAATTCGTCTTCATAATGAGACGCAATAAAAATAAACAAAAGAAGAAAATCAAGCGTAAGTTGTTTCGAAGAAAGTTAGGATAAATAAATTTCAATCAACAGGTTTTCCGTATGCTATTAAAGATCATTGTGACGACGATCATCAGCATGATTGTTATCGACATGATCTATTTGTTTTTGCCTGAGTCTACCATCTAGACGTTGTTTTAATTCGTTCAATCGTGTAAGACCACCTCTTAATATATCTAAGTGGGTATCGAATGACATAGTTTGTGCAAGTTCAACTTCTGTTACAGTTGATTTTAATTCCACAGCTTCTGCTTTGAATTGTTTTAATCTCGAGAGCACGTTGTTGACATCAACAATTCCCACTTTTACAATCTGCTTGAACTCTTTCAATGTTGCAAGATTCTGTTGATGTTTTACTTTATCCAATTCTCCATTACCCAATGTGTTACGATAAAGTCTTGCAAGTAATCCTTCGTTTTGTATTTCTTGATCAATGTCATTTATTATGACTTGTGATGCTTCATAACTGTCAGCTAATACATCGTCTATCGTTTCATACTTCGTATCGATATCGACTAAATACACAGAAAATAAACATACAATTTTAGTAGTCTAGTTCATGTTTCAAATTATCTGTGATATTTTCAAAACGTCAATCAAAACTTCTAAAGCTTCTCTACGAACTCATAGGTACTCCAACATGATACACCGAGATTTCTGGCTGTAGAGAATGCAATAATAAAAGTAAACGTACGTAACTGTTGGTGTACATCCTCGGCCATTTGTATGACACGGTTAATTTGTATGTCAATATGTTCCAAATAAGTTTGAAATTGAGACTGAACCTTCCTTTCAAAACCGTGTACCGCCAATTCTGTACTTCTGGACGATGATTGGAAAGTAGCTAAAGCTGCTGATTCATCCTTAATGTATGTCAATGCATATTTAGTGTAAATTTCCAATTTTGATAATGTGCCACCAAAGCCAGATAACATTTTGTGTATACTATCCGTTGTGCTCTCAACTGACGTTCTCAGTTCCACAATTTTTTCTTTGATTATTTGTTTCGTCGGCTGTTCGAGATTCGAATAGACGACACGCGCTTTCAAATCAATTAATGATATTTTCACTTCAGNCAATTTTGATACTCTCCCACCAAAGCCAGATAACATTTTGTGTATACTATCCGTTGTGCTCTCAACTGACGTTCTCAGTTCCACAATTTTTTCTTTGAGTATTTGTTTCGTCGGCTGTTCGAGATTCGAATAGACGACACGCGCTTTCAAATCAATTAATGATATTTTCACTTCAGTTAGTTTAGTTGGTGCGCTGACGTCAACACTAGACAAACGCTCAGCTAAATCGGTTGTTTTCTCAACAAATGCCGAAACTGAAGGTATTTTTATTGTAGGATTTTCCAGATTTGATGGTGATGATTCCGGTGTTTTTGTCAGAACTCCTACTTTGCAAAATGGAAGTATGGTACCTGCGAATGGTATGTAGTTACATAACAAGATAAGAAGCAAATGCCATAGAAATACCAAAACGATTCCCAGCAAGATTATAATAGCTAGAACTATAATTAAATGTTTGAGTCCGTACGAATATATTAGCGATATGATATCATGCAATTCCCGACGAAACCAAGATCTTCTTCCGTGAGGTACGTAATTCACTAAGGTCAAACAAAACGCATGCTATGGTTCAATTAAATATGCAAAGAATTGTCACGTGCTTTTGTCTGTAGTCCGACATGACTTTTACTTACCTAGAGCATTTTGAAGATCATCTTGAATCGCCGTCAATTGATTCTGCCATTCTTCAAGATTATCTCTAATAGGATTACGATTAATAGCAATATCATTTGAAATTTCTTCTAAACGATGTAACAAATTTTCTTTTTCTCTCAACGAGATTCGTTGTTGAGGTATAGATTGCATCAATAAATCATGCTGGTGAATAATTGTATCTTTTGTCAAATGCGTTCTGCTTCCTCGACTGCTCATTTTTTTTCTAAAACTAAAGCGTTGGAACTAATACTCTGCATATTTATACATAACGGGTCTAGCCGGTATTATAGAATATTCTTACGCGCGTGTTCTATTGGTTTTTTCCTTTAACTCACGTATATATTTGGATCAAAGGAAAAAGTCAGCAGAACGGACAAAACATGCGCACGTTTGATAAAAGCGACAGAAAAGGCTTTTGTTCACACATGAAAATACTCCACAGCAGTAGAAAATAGTGAAGACGAAAACGTTGAAAGAGGAAGACAAGGGGAAACCAACTTAGCAAGCGTGACGTTTACATAACACCGATCCAAATAAATGATTGCTGAAATAAGCGTACTCCATATGTGTCAGATCTCCTTTTCACATACGGTTTTTAATAAAACAGCAGCGTTTTTTCATTTCTTGAATCGCAACAATTATTAAACACAAACACAAACCTTTCGAGTGGAAGACCAGTTTTTTCATTTTTCTCGGCATTGAAAAATTTGATCAGAATAGATGGAAAAAACATGTTGAATTAATGTTGATTTGACGTCACCACTAAAATCTTCATTCCTGCAAAACGCATCAACAATGTATGGTTATTTATGTATCATGTCCACAGGATCATCACAAGTTTTACGCAAGCCACCCGTCATTTGAATCGTATTTATCGATTATTTTCAGATTTGAAAGTTCTAGAACATAATACACTCGCTACTATTTGCCTGTAAAAACAATCTTTTTCATTATCTACCAACGCCTAACATATTCGTAGTGTCGGTGTTATCGAATGAAAGAAAAACAACGTGTTTATTAGGACACAGGTGAAGCATAGGAATGACGAGTGAAGTAAAAAATGAAGAATTTATCTTGTCGACTCGGCCTTCGGACCAGAATGAAGTCAAGTCTGCTTGGAAATTACAAGCATGCTCGATGCCAACCATAACTAATGACAATGAATTTATCATCAAAACGCTATTTGTCTCGGTCGATCCTTACTTGAGTAGCGGACTAAAAAAATCAGCGTTGGGTGGTGCGGTAAATCCAATTGGTTCGGTACAAATATCAGGTTTAGTCGGTCGTGTCATCGAAAGTAAAAATGCCAGTGTACCAGTTGATACCATCGTAACAGGAAGAATGGAATGGAAAAGGTATATTCTTGCCAACGGTACCGAACCCCGGTTTCGAATTATACAAAAACCGACGGAACACAACACCATCTATGACAAAATTGGCTTTAGTACGGCTATTGGAGTCTTAGGAATGCCATCGCAAACAGCTTATTATGGAATATTGTCAGTGGCAGATACTCAGTCAGCCGATGTTATAGTTATAAGCGGAGCTGCTGGTGCCGTCGGAACCATTGCTGGTCAAATTGCAAAGAAGATTCGAGGTGCACAAAAAGTAATTGGCATTGCTGGTGACGCAAAAAAATGTGATTACATCGTGAAAGAATTAGGTTTCGATGCAGCAATTAATTATAAGGAGTACAATACCAAAGAGAAAATGATTGAGAAATTACAAGAACTTGCACCGGAGGGAATCACACAGTATTTTGATAATACAGGTGGATTTGTTACCGATGCTGTATTTGATATAATCAAGAGACATGGTAAAATAATCATTTGTGGTCAAATAAGTACTTATAATAATAGTGAAGATGATCCATCGAAAGTCAATATTTATCCAAATTACTTAGCGAAGACGATCTACCGAGGCTTATCGATTTTAGGTTTTGTATGCGGTGATTTTATTCATCGAAATGAAGAAGAATTTTATAAAGATATGCCGACTTGGTTAGACGAAGGAAAAATTAAATTTCACGAAACGTTCGTTGATGGTTTTGAAAATCTTCCTCAAGCTTATGAAATGCTTTTCACCGGCGGTAATATTGGTAAAATTGTCGTTCGAATTTAATATTTATTGAACATTTCTTTTCTTTGCATATGTGAACAACAAAAATAAAGACTATCTTAGAGTGAATATCCACGAAAGAGAAACTTCAGTTTTTGTAAACGCAAAGACGAATTCGTCATAGTTATCATAAAAGTTCTTTTGGCCTACCGACACTCAATGCGACAACAAGAAAATATTTTTAAGCGAATGTAGGCCAAGTACAACTAAGGGAATAACAATTGGCAATACTAAATAGTGTAGAGCTAAGTTGACACATACCAGAAACATTAAATATGTTTTGTATGAGACGAATAAACTTCGAACATAGCGAGAGCGGGAAATATCGTAAAAATTGTGTTTAAAGCAATGACTTGCACAAAGAAATGCAAATCTATTTTTGGTGGACCATTCATCTCACAGTGAGAGATAATGAAGATTGACTTTTTCCAAGTAGACTTCAACTGTAGAAAAGAGAAAGAACTCCACTATGATTTTGCAACCTATGAAATTAATAACAAAAAATGTGTTTTGTTATCATAAAAAAACAGTCACTTTTAGACCAATCCACCAATGAATATCGGGTAACGAAGACTGTCCAGACAAAGAGAAAACTCGACAAGTGAAATTATCCTTTGTAAACCACCGTGTCGTTTGACTTGCAGGTGAAGTTTATTAGTATTTTTGCATTTATATTATAAGTCGAGCTAGGCAACTACTCTTTTGGCAAGCTTACGATTATCATTGAAAATGTTTCGCATGTTATTAAACAAAAGTAGTTCAGTATCAATCGCACACGTTATTTTTAAGGAGCAAGACAAAATTCTTAAAGTTTTTGAAAAAGAATACGCATTGCTTATGAGTTTGTAACAATACGTTGAACTAAGCCAACTGACCCCGGTGAGGGTGCACCTGAATCTTCGAAAATTGTAATTAAATTATTTTCTCGTTTGAGCCAATCAGGTGGAATGTGATAAAACCGTTGAGTAGGTTTTAAACAATTGGTTTGAGCGTGTTGACAGCAACACGGTTGATTATTTTCGCAAATACCTTGAATTAACCAATAGAGTCCAATATCATTTCCATTGATGTATACGTGACCACGATTAAGACCTTGAGCATCAAGCAGAATAGGGTTGGCATTCATATCTTGTCGCGAAAGATTATTCAAATCGAATCGTGCTTGAAACCATGTTATTGGTTTATTGATACCTTTTGTCCATTGACTATCCCAATTAACTTTCGATGAACCATTTTCGGTATAGATATCAAGATATTCACCTAGTAAACCTTTTTGATGACTCCAAAAATTAGTTTCTGTTTTATTATCGACTAACAATTCATCGTCAAGCCATATGTTTCCATGAATACCTTTATATTGAAATGTATTCGGATATACGCCACTAAAAAGTCCGAATGAAATGGAAAGAATTTCGAATAAATGCTGCTGATTAGAATGGAAACGTGAAAGATCTAATACAACGTAACCTTCAGCAGTGCCCTGTGAGTGCGTATGATCGTCAAATTCGCCTAAGTATTCTCCATCCATAAAGAAAAGTAACGCATTTGCTACATTTGTTTGAACACGTGCGATTGAATTTGACGATGGTTGTTTCAATGTTACATTACGACGATACCACATATAAACAGTTTCGTCATTTGTTATATTTAATTGTTCTAGTGGATTCGGAGAGATAATTAGTGGTGGACTTGGTTTAATCAATGATTCCGACCATATTTGCCAATTGAGTGGGCCGGTAACAACAGGGATTATTTGAGTGTTGTCACTGGAAATATCACTGTAACTGGCACTGTTCCATAACAAATCCATATCACCATCATATATTCGAACAGAATGTTGTGCCATGAGAATAGTTTGATTGCGAAATAGTACATAGAGTGTCGTCGTCGCTTGACTGATAACAAAATAGATCGAATTTGAATATGAGTAAACGAATTGTGATGTGCCATTTAGCCACTTGTATCCGTCCCAATAAGGTATTGCANCTAACCTTGACTGGCACCCCCCTTCCAACATCATATGTAATCGGATTGGCTGCTATACAAATTAAAATGGAAGTCAGCACGATCAGACGCATTGTTAGAGTTTTAGATACCTACAGTGTATAAAGGCAAGATAAGAGTTCTGTTCTATCTTCTCTCTGTTGATTTACACAACAGAAACAAAGAAGATACGTCTGATATACGTTCTGCATAGGTGTTTTGAAGAGAGAGTGTGAGCTCTATGAAATGAGTGGATTATTTGTGAGAAATAAATTTTTCAGATTATACACGAGAAGAAAAAGCTCTCTTTTCCAATCGTTCGATAATGACTACGTACTGCAAGGGCACATCTGCTGGAACTGTACTGCTAAACAAAGGCCTTTACGTTTACAATAATAAGCTTTAGCAAGCAAGCGCTATCGTTGAGTAAAAAACGGAATTTATCGTCGTTATCAAAATGCAAAAGTTCGCCTGATATTATTAAAACGTTCGCTGTACACTTTAAAACCATACAATATTGTGTTTTTAATCTTTTAGCGCCACCACCTAGTATCCGCCCAACGCTGTTACGCATTCGACATCAATGTGGAAAAGACGCCAGCTCTTACTGATAGATTAGTTCGTCTCGCTCTCAAATATACAAGAATAAAGTTTCTTTCTGAGCTTATTTTTGTGATTTATTTCTTTGAAGTTTTGTTCAAAGCTTTTCATACACGCAGTGTCAAAGTCATATTTAAGAACATCAATATACATTCGAAGTCTAATTAATGCGTCTAACCAACATTTGGATTTGTAACCTTTTTCAACAATTAGAGGTATGAAAGATCGTCGGAATTTCTAAGTATATTGCCCGTCAACTTTACAATATGGACTCATTTCATATCGATTCGAGATGCAAACATGGATAAAGTGTGAATTTTCGGCCATTCTCTCGATTGTTGAACCATACATATTCTCAAAATCAACCCAAACTTTGAATCCATCAGCAATTAATGTGGAATAAATCATATGAACAAGATCTTTATCTTGACGACAATAACTTATCATTAAGTCACACACATAATTCGAGGTTGATGAATGCAAAGCTTTTTTCTCAATTTTATCCGATGGAAATGGACTACACGCTTGTCCACCAGGAAGAACATTTCCTTTCTCGATCATCACGATGGCAGTATAAACATCATCTTCATTTGAACAATAAAATATTCGTTCGTCTTCATAATGAAACATTCCATTCGATAGTATCCGATGATTCTAGTAGTCGATTACTGACATTATCAGGTGAATCACCAAAGTAAAATATAAGGGTGGATGTGACCAAATACCATCCATCCGAAATATTTTTTACATAGGAACGGTTGCTTGTCCACGTGGAGAGCTTGCCTGTTGAACAGACTCTTCGTTTTGTGAACAAATTTTGCGCCAGATTTGTAATGTTATGGTGTAATGTCTTCTGTTTGTATAGGAAGAAAGAAAAGATGATTGCTTGATTTTCATGTTGACAAAATGTATGTACGTAATGAATTTGAACTTAAAACATCTTATTGACTTTCTTGTATACTGAATATTTCTCGTTCGCGAGTCTAAAACGTTAAGCGCCTGAAATAGTACATTCCCTTGCCGAACATCTTGTATTAAGACTTCGAAGAGACAAAAGCAACATCATGCATTTGTAAAAATGAAAATAATTCGAATTACCTGTTCAAAAGTATGCTTCACATACACCAAACATGAAGGATTTGTTTATCAAACTCACAAAACAATCGACATGCATTGTCATCAGCCAAAGAAACCATGCGAGGTACAGTTTTAATGCGACTATTATTCTGTATTCAGATACCAACAGCATTTTGTTATCGCAATTTTGCAAATACTTTCTCGTTGAAAATAGAGCATCTTTGCATGAAACTTATAGTGCGATCAAAAGAGGTCTCTTAGAAAACACATTAGTACTTATGAGATACTCTTGACATGTTGGATTTATCTTACCTTGTTTCTGACAATGATATATCTGCGTCAAAACTTTCATAGCTTTTAACTTCTCATATCAAGTAAAGTGAACAAAATCTTATATTGTTAAAGTTGTTGCGCATTGTTACTCCAATCATATCGACAAAGAATGAGTATATATAAATGTTACTTCTTTCACCCTACCGCTTATTAAATCGTCAAAGGTAAAAATTCCATCTAATAATCGGTCGTGTCGAACAGAATTATTATTCTCATCTTGTATTGAATCAGTATGGCACCACTGGCAAAAATAATACCTACTTTCACAACCGCTGACTTCTTTGTTGTATTGATTGTTGGCACAATTGAAAATATTCTCAACCCTCTTACACTATTGTTCAAGGATTTTACAACAAAATCTTGCATCTTCTACATGATTTGTGCTTCTTCGGTTTATCTCCTGTCCAGCAACTTTGGCATCATCATTCGCTTTTCAACAGAATACTTTGGCCATAATACCACACTTATCAATCGTGGTGTTTGCAAAACACGCAGTTAGCTACTTGTTTGTTTACCATCGATGGCAGCAACATGTGTTTTGTTATCAACGTTCGACCGATGTGTGTCGACATCACTGAACTCAATGTGAGTTGCTAAGCGTCTCTTTCTTATAACTATGCCTTTTATATTGATTTCTGACACCTTTCATCTGATTATATCTGATGTTCACAATGGTTTACGTGTGGCATCGTCTAGTTTTGGCCCCCTAATAGCCACGGTTTATGCAAATGTTTTCTCATTCATCGTTTCTCAAGGTCGGTTCATGATCTGTGCCCTCGTGACATGGACTCATATACGACAATCAAGACATCGTATTGGCACATCTTCTCACGCTACAAGACAAGACATGCACCTGCCACTCATCGAACGAATCGGCAATTACTAATTTTAATATTTGTGAATGCATTTCTCTCGAGTGCATTAGCATTTCAGCGAGGTCGAACATTTTCCTACACTCTAATTACTACTTCTCAGCCGAAGAGTGTCGAGCGACAAAAAATTGAATATTTTATAACATGAACTTTGGGACATCGTTTTGTATTAATTTTGCTTCGAGTAAAATGTTTCGTAAAAGTTTTCGAGAACGCATTTCGTCACTAATTAATCGATGGTTTCATTTTTGTAAAAGGGGCTGAAGTTTAATCTTTTCTTTTTGAATAAAAGGACTTACCTTAGGCAAACGAAAACGTGAACTGAGAGGTTTCTTACTGGGTTGGTTTTTCAGTCAAATGATCATTCGAATCATATCTTTACAAGAACTTCAAACAAAGTACATTTCCAATTTGAGAGCTAGTAGACTGCAATAAACTGCAAATATTCCGCATTCACATTCTTTTGATGACATTTTGGAGTGTCGTAAGACGCATAGTTTCAATTGTATCGGAATTTTCCATCACATATCGATCAATGTTCTTGATCGTTAGATAAATTGGTCGTCCATTTGTTAAGTACGTCGAACAACGGTAAACATTTAAGGCAGGAAGAGAGAACAAAGACAGAAAAGAATGAAGATAGGAGAGAAGTTGGTTGAAGAGAGCAGAGGCTATGTAGCTAGGATGAGCCTTGGGAAAATGATATCTAGACTTTTGTCTCTTAAATGAACATAAAATAAAGTATTAGGAAAAAGCTTTTCCAGAATATTTCCAAAATTTGTCCTGTGAATAAAATTAGCATCATTCGATTGAATTAAAATCTGTATCGAATGAATTGCTTTTTATAGATGAGACTTGCCTTACAGAAAGAAAGTTTTAGGTAAGTTCTTGTTTCGTTGTACTAGCCTCGCACCGATAGAAAAAAAATTTCATCAGAGTGGGCTCACTACAAAAACTGTACATTTTTGTGGTGTAAATATTTGCTTTCTGTGGTAATTCTTCAAGATCAAGATGGGCTGGGCCAACTCTGACCCACGCTTGGCGCCGCTACTATAGCGAAGATCGATCATTTTCATATCAAAGGTTCAACTCAAAAATCTGAAGTTAATATCACAGATAGAGATCGTGACAAACTATGTAAATGATAAAAAAAATCTTTCAGTCATTCTTATATATACTCACGACGAACGTTTCGGTGGTTGGGTCCGGATAGATCCTACAGGAAAAGCCATCGGATCTTGCAGGAAAGCACCGGAAATCATCGGGAAAAAGTCCAAAGCTTTTCACTCGGACTACTACTTCCATGTTCCAGCGATCTCCAGTGTTTTCCCGTTGGAACCGTCTCGTATTCTTTGACTTGAGTATATATATATATATAATTTAGCCCTGATTACGTTGTTCGAAAACTTATTTATCAATTGTCACTTGAAATTTACCTGCAACGACATTTCAAATTATAGCATGACATAGTGACGTAATTAACATAACTTTAAATAGACTATACAGACAGATAATGATTTTTATGACGTCTATTATATGAAATAAGAATAACTAACTCAATTGAGGATGCTTGAGTTGACACTTTGATAAAAGTAATAATGAAAAACAAGATTTCTCGCATGAATGACACAGATTTTTAACGAGATAGAATTTTGAAATGGATCAGCGCTCAATAAAATACAATCAGAATTATCTTTGGAGAAATGTCCTTAGCTTCTTTTTATCGTACAGGAAGTCTCTTGTACATGGCGAATATCTATTGCATAAAATGCATATCAATCGATCAATATCCTATAAGTGTAAGAAATAAACGAAAAACTATGATGTGGATGAGGGTTTGGATACCAATAAAGTTGAACACTCTCGTCCCATAGTCTTATTTTGAATATAAAGTGAGAAAACAATGTTAGACACAAAATACAACAGCAGTAATAACATACGACACACAATATATATCTTCCACCTTCATTACAAGTAGTAAATATTTTATATATTTACTCTAGTATCTACAACACTCAAATAAAAATTTGTAAGTGCATTGAATAAAAAGTTAATGAATTTTTTCTTCTATATATGAATGCTTTCCGTTCCCGTTTTATTGCAATTATGGTTTGTTAAGAGGACTTATTCCTGGTTGTGTTTCTCTATTAACAGGTACTGTTCGACGATGTAAAATTTTCTTTATCATCAATGTCAGTGTTGGTATTGACAATAAACATACAAAAGGAAACATTAACGGAAGAAAATACGTGTTAAACCCAACCCATTGCATTACTGTAAGGGACAAAGGTGCTGAAGTTGTTAATATCCATATATAGACAGCTGCAACAGGTAGCTTAAATAAAAGAAAGAGACTTGCGATAGAAAATAGTTGAAAGATCATTTGTCGATATTTTCTCCAATTTACTGATCGTTGAAGACGTGCTTTTGATCGATAAACTCGAAATAAAAGTGCACAATTAAATATTAATACAGAAAGCGTAGGAATTAGAATATGAAAATTTGTTTGCCACATACCCATTACTGGATCCCTTGATTGACAACCATAATAGCATATATTATGAACAAAATCTACTTGGTTTTCACATGGAAAGATAAAACTAGCATAAATATAAAAGCCGTCTATATAAATAATCAGGAGAATCGGTGGTAGATAATGAAAACAGATGTTTTTCCATTTAATAGTAAATAAATGAGCATGAAAAACGAGAAAATGTCGTTCAAATGATGCCCATGCAAATAAAAGATTTGTTAGACAACTAGATGTGGTCTCAACATATGACCTAATTTTACAAAGTATTAAAGACCAATGAATAGTTGGTGTTGGCCTATGTGAATCTAATATTATTGGAATCAAAATAGAACTTATGATAAAAGTGTAAAATAATGTGAATAAAATAATATAATTGTTGGGTGCTGAACGAAGCGTTTTGTTGAAAAAAATAAGAGCAAAAACGATAAAATGCATAGGAATAGATAGAATAACAAAGGTTAGTAATATTATGAATGAAATATCCTTAGAAATAAATATAAATGGACTTGGGCCTCTCACTACATCTCCATTCGATACATTCATTTGTTTAGTTTTGTGCTTCTAAGTTATAGACGATGATGAAGTGAAAAAATTTCAGTTCGATGCTAGAAAGAAAAAAACGTTGTGAAAGTGTCAATTATAAATTGATCGATACATTTATTCGTAACGCACGAATAAATTTTATGACGGAAGCGAGAAAAGAAATAGCGTGTGTAAAAATAGATAAAAAAGATTCTGAGAACACAAAAAACAAGAATCTCAAATGTCATGAAGACAAATTCTTTGACCTCATTTATAGAAAAGTTCATGACATT